CTGATACTGAGCAAATGCTCAACGAACAACATGATTCAGCGCGGCTTGTCATTCATAGAGGGTGTGATCGAGGACTCGGGGTTCGACCTTAGACCCGTGCCGGCATTAGTAAAAGGACGTGACCGGCCCCACGGGCAAATGCACTCGGCTTTGGCACGCGTTGCAGGCATCTGGGCTCGGGACTGGTGTGCCTGTCAAGCATTTTGATGACAAGGGGTACATCTGCCAGGAGTTCCAGAGATATCGCTACATGGACGGGGCCGGCGTATCGGTGAAGCCTTGGACGAAGGTGCAGCTCCATCAAATCGCACTTGCGGAGACCCGCAACTGGCCAAGTTGTCCTCCATCCAGATTGCCCAATAAGCAAAACTTATATGTAGGCTGCAAGGTTGCGGACATAGTGATATAGTGTGCTGCACCTTGAGGTGGACGTCACAGCGCCGGGATTGTGGTTTCAAGTCGTGTGTCCAATCACGGGATTGTGGTGCCCACACTACATCGTGTGCTGCGGCACTTTGCTTTGTTCTGCGCCCGATAGTGTGACCCCCCACAAGCCGTGTTATCAGCCTGACTTCAGAACATTGACGTGCTGGCCTGGCACTTTGCTACGCACTGTCGTAACAATGGCGTCCTCACATGAAATGGAGGCAGATCCGCTGCAGATATCATCAACGTCTGCTTCAGATGAAGCGGCTTTGCAGGCACCGGATGTGTCGTTTGAGTTATCGGTTGTGCCCTCAAACAAACAAAGTAGTGGGAGCGAAAGCTCACCCTGGACCGCGTCTGAGGGTAGAGAAGTTGCCATAACATCAAATAGACCTTGGAGGGCATCTGGTCCCTGTCATAGGAACAAAACTGCCCCAAAGCCTAAGCGCATGTATGCGTGCGACGTAGCAAAGTCTTCGCTGACAGCACCGTCCAGTATTCCAGTATCGTACGGCCCGCCACTAGATCGAGGTTCAGTTGCATCCACATCAGCAGTTACGGTGCCATGGTGCAGGGGTTAACATCATCATTATTATCATTATTATTACCGTTGTCATTCTTGTTCGTAGATTTACGATTGTTACTATATTTATTTGTATTGTTATTCTTCTCAGTATTGTTGTTATTATTTTTCTTATCACTTTGTCATTGTTTTTTTCATTGTTGTTGCTACTACTACTACTATTATTATTATTACTATTATTATTAGTATTGCTATTATTATTAGTACCATTACTATTCGTATTATTATTGTTTTCTTGCTTTTGCGATTCGTGCTAGTATTGCTATTGTTCTTATTACTGTTATTGTTAGTGTAATTGCGATTGTTTTTGTATTGTTCTTGTCATTACTATTATTGCTGTTTTTATTGCTATTGTTATTGTTATTGTTATCGCTATTGTTATTGTGAGCCTGATTGTGAGTGTTATTCTTATTGTTATTATCCGGAAGACCAAAGCACCACGGCCAAAATGCTTCCCTCATGTATTGGCGGGAATCAGAGAAATGCCAAAACCGGAGTCAATCATTTCGAGGCGAATGTGCTTGCATGTACAGTAATTGTAATGATTCGAGCTTTGCGACGACACGGCCGCAGCATTAAGCCTTAAACCCTGAACCCCAGACCCGCTAAGCCCGAAACCATGAACGACATGAGTGCAAAGCAAGCACCGTGCAGCAGCGGGAGTGCGACATGTTCCGCGAGCACCTCGCGCTCGAAGCACCGCCACAGCCCATTGTTTTGACACCCAATGTAAGAACCAAAACCGAACTTAGGAAGTCCAGTGATCCTTTCAAGTCCCCTGTTTTGTTTGTCCCATCCCTTCGAATTCGAGGCCGACAATGCGAAATTCGACGGCCAGAGTCTGTTCCAGCGCATGCAGGTGGCGCTTCTCCAGGGGCACCCGACAGTCCAAATTCCCCGGACTTTTGACATTTTATAGGGTTCAAGGACGCTTGTTAAACTCCCCCCTCTCTTGCTTAACGTGCTTCAACCGGTACTGGGTCTCTGGGATCAGGGTTTCCGGAGTTTGGTGAGTCATAAGGAGTTGTGGTGCTCCGGGGTTTTCGAACGGCTTCTGCAGTTGTTCAGGGCTTACACAGGGCTTAAAGTTTTCGTTTTACATGTTGTTAATTTGGATTGCAAGGAAGGTTAGCTGTTGTTACGTCGGTGCAAAACCGATACATATGTATAGATTGCGCACATGAAACCTTAAGCCTTAAACCTTAAACCTTAAACCCTAAACCCCTAAACCGTAAAACCAAAGCGGGCGTCGGGTCTAGGGCCTGAGGTTGAGGGTTTGGGCTGGCGAGTCGTCTCCGGAAGTTTCGGGAAGAAACTCAATATGGGGGCCATAATGATTACCGATTCTGTCGAAACCCTAAATTCTAAGAAGCCCTAATGCAACACCCAAGACTGGTCCATAAACGCTCAAGAGCCCAGCGAAAGGAGGAGTTCACGTCAAGCTTGAAGGCCAGCACAGCAAGGCGATGTGGAGATGCAGCCAATGGTGGCTGCAGATGAGGATCTCGAAATGCAGCTTCCTCCCGTGCAGGTGGCGGAGGCCCGACGCGAAGGGCGTACCTTGTCCGACAGCGAGGCCAAGCAGCAGAGCTGTGGAACAGGCTTTGCTTTCCGGCTCTCGGCAGCGAGGTCGTGATCTCCCTGAACGAGCTGTTTAGGGGTTCCGTTTTCCCTTAAGAGTTCCTCTAAAGGATTCCTTTAAGTGTTCCTCTCAAGGCACCCTTAGAAGAGTGCCCGAAACCCTAAACCCCAAACCCTACACTTTGGAAGGTCCCCAGACCCCGCAAGCAGGCCTTGCCAATGGAGCGGCTGAAGCAACGCCTCGTGCTCTTGGGCCGCCTTGGGGGGGGAGGGGGTTTAGGGTTTAGGGTGGGGGGGAGGGGGGGTTCTTTCAGGGTTTGTTTAAAGGATTTACGCTTCTTTGAGGGTTCCCATCAAGGGTTTCACACGACAAGAGTTTGGGGTTGTGATCTTTTTGTTTTAGATTGATTTTACAGGTGGTCCTGCAGGGGTTTGTAGGTTTTTTTGCCAAATTGACTGTATAGTTAGCGCTAGCCCGGCACTGCAGGCTAAGCTTGATTTGACAGGCTGCCTCAGCCCTTGATCACCCTCAACCCAGAGCTCTCAACCCTGAACCCAAAAGCCACGGACCCCAAGCCTCTTACCTTAAACCCCTAAACCCCTAAACCCTAAACCCTAAACCCCTAAACCCTAAACCCTAAACCCCTAAACCCTAAACCCTAAACCCTAAATAAACCCACTACGCTGCCGACCCGCCTCTCCGCAAAGACAGAGGCCCACACTGCCATCTCAGGGCCTCACTCCTCGAGGATCCCAAAGAAAACCGTCAGATTTAGGGTTTAGGGTTGAGGGTTTAGGGGTTTAGGGGTTTAGGGGTTTAGGGGTTCAGGGTTTAGGGTTTAGGGTTTAGGGGTTTAGGGTTTAGGGTTTAGGGTTGAGAGTAGAGATGTTTAAGATTTTCGTGGATGTAGGGTTTGGGGTTCTGGTCCCCCCTTCGTGAGGGAGAGGGTTCTGTGTTCCCCCAGCCTTCTTGCAAACCCTAAGCCCAAAGCCCTAAACCCCAAAACTCCGGCCCTCCACCTTCAACCCTGGATCAACCTTCAACTGCCGGCCGCTGAACCAGCCTTGGTCTTGCACGCTTTAGGGTTGTAGCGCTCGTGTAAGCAATTTTAAAGAGGTGTTGCAGGTTGTTTCCTGTTTGAAGGTTTCTTTTTGATGTTCCACCTTTCCTTTTCTATGCCTGAAGCCATAAGAGCCCCAAGCGAAACCCAAGGCGTGGGTGGGTTGACTTGCTTAACCCAGCAGCGGCAATTGGTTTGTTAGAAAATGGAAAGGTTGTGTCCTGACCGAAAATAAGATAGGTTTCCGGATGGCCAGCAGCAACAAGCAATATATATTTATTTCTTTCTTGAAGGTTTAGGGTTTAGGGGAACGAGTTAGCCGCCCCATTCATTTTACGCCACAACCCTTTGGGGAACCCAACGCGGGTAGTTCCCTTTTTTGGGATCCTGTTTATAACGAAAGGGACCCGAATTTAGAGAGGCACCCATGATATATTTTTTAACTCTGAATATGGCACCCAAAAGTTTCGGAGCCCTAAACCCTTAACCCTATAGTGTGGGAACCTGACAGAGATGCTCATGAGGACAACCACCCTAAGCCCAAAAAGACCCCGAGACCTTCAACCCTAAACCCTAAACCCGAGACCTTAAACTCTAAACCCTAAACCCTAGACCTTAAACCCTAAACCCTAGACCTTAAACCCTAAACCCTAGACCCTAAACCCTAAACCCTAAACCCTAGACCTTAAACCCTAGACCTTTAACCCTAAACCCTAAACCCTAAAGCCTGAACCCTAAACCCTAAACCCTAAACCGTAAGACCTTAAACCCTAAACCCTGAGCCCAAAAGCCAAAACCCCAGATCCTCAATGTGAGTGCCGTGGGCCCTTTGTGCTCAGCAGTCACGTCGACTGTGGGCTTCCGATTTTTTTGGGTTTTAGAACGAAAGGGGTTAGGGTTTAGGGCCAAAGGGGTTAGGGTTTAGGATTTAGGGTTTAGGGTTTAGGGTTAGAACTAAAGGCGTTAGGGTTTACTGGACCCCGAAAAACCTGCCTTTTTGAGGACGTATATTATAAAGAAATCATAATAAGGAGCCCTAACAAGGAAGGTTCTTTTCATTTTCGGTTACAAGTCGAGTTTATGGGTTTGTGGGTTCATGGATTTACGTAGTAGTCCGGGCTACTTTGGAGGTCCATTTACCGATATGGGGGGCTTTTGCGGGCCCGGCTACGGAGGCCTGCATGTACCTACGGATACTCGAACAGGGAACACGAGGGGTTGGGCATGGACGGTTCTAGGTTTGCGGGCGCAGGAGTTATGATCCAGGGCATTCGTGTTTAGAAGTTTAGTGAAGAGTGGCGGACCATGTTTTGACTACGTCATTTGGGCATCTCTGGGAAGAAAGGTCGATGATGTTGCCTGTGCATTTGCTGTCAGGGGAAGAGGTGGCTGTCGTGCCGTTGGAGGAAGTGGTCAGGGACGATTCCTGCACTGTGAGACATCTCAAACGGTATTTGTGCAGTGCGCACGGGCTGCCACCGAGATTTCAACAGCGGATTCTGCATGACGGAGCAGTCTTGGATGATGAGACGTGCTGTTTTCGCTTGGCAACGCCCTTCTCAGTGCAGCTCATTTTGCTGCCCTTTGTGGAGGCCACACCTGAGAAGATCGATCATTTTGTTGAGGCTGCGCGGAAAGGTGAGTCTTCGGAGGTTGAGCGGCATCTGCTCCTACCGCAGGATCCGGATCTGATACCACAAAGGTGCCAAGCGCGAGCCTTGTACCAGGCATCTTGCGATGGCCACGCAGCCGTCGTCAGCCTCCTCTTGGAAGCAAAAGCCGACAAGGATGCTCCCTACCACCATCTCGGAAACTCCCGGACCCCACTCCTCGCAGCATGTGAGAAGGGCCACAAGGACTCAGATGTTCGGACAGGGGACAGTTCTACTGTTGATGGTAGAAATCCTGCATTACCTTAGAAGGACCCTAAACTAAGGGAATTATCGTATAGTTTTTCTTATGGGTAATGCAGGGTTTATATCATCAACCGTAGTATACCTGCTAGGAAGCAATGTGAGCTTTGTTGTGTCTTTTTACTGGCTCTCAAGATTTTCAGGATCTTACAGGCTTAGGCCCCAGTGCAAATCCCTGGTGTTTTTGCCGAACGATCGGTCTGGTTCTGCAAGTGGAGCCAAAGAGTAGGATCCAAAATGCAGTTTGGGTTTAGGGGTTAGGGCCGCTACACCCTTCTACGAACAGGGAGTGTCTTACTGCGAAGGAGACGCCACACCCTAAACCCTAAACCCTAAACCCTAAACCCTAAGCCATAAGCCCTAAACCCTAAACCCTAAACCCTAAACCCTAAAGCCCTAAACTCTGCCCCGAAACTTCGCAGTCCCAGACACCTTGGAGCCCAGACCCCAGGCCCTAAGCCCTACCTAGAGCCCAAAGAACCTACCTTTTAAAGGACCTAAATAAGGAAACCATACCACGGAGCCCTACTTGGAGGCCCAGGGGACTTAGTAAGTGGGTTATAAGTAGAGTTGTAAGTAGCCTAAATGGAGTTATTCTAATTAAAACCCTACTTCTAACCGACTTACTAAGTCCCCTGGGCCTCCAAGTAACAAGAGAGGTTCTTAAGGGTCCAGGTAAAGCCTAAACCCATGACGGAGGAGGTGGTGCAGGAGCCTTACAGAAGGTCCATATACCTTATAGAAGCTTCTATAAGGCCCGAAAAAAACCCGAAACTCCCCAAATCTAGTTTCCTTAAATCCCCTTATACCCCCTTCTAGGACCCCTTATAGACCCTTATAGATCCCTTAAACGGAACCCTACCTAGAACTCCCCGGAGGAGGTGGTGCGCTTGCTCTTGGATGGTGGAGCGGATCATCATGCCGCCTGTTGGGACTTTGGCACACCTCTCACCGCCGCCTCTTTCGAAGGTCGCTCCTCATGACAAGCCCAACTGGGTTTTGGTAAACGGTTTAGGGTTTTAGGGTTTAGGGTTTAGGGATCAGGGTTGGATTCTGTAAAATGTTTGTTTTTTTTCACGGCTTTGATAGGGGGTTTTAAGGTTGTAGGTCTTGAGGAGTTAGCAAACGGAGTTTTCATAGAGATCAGTGTTCTTAAACTGGCAAGCCCGATTGTCCTGAACACCCCCTCATGGAATCCAGTCAGCTGCGCACCTAGGACGCGCACAACCCACCAGCGATGAATGTACCGTTACATCGTTTTGAAGATCTTCCAACAATGCTAGCCCTGAACCTCAAACCCTAAACCCTCCCCAAACCCTAAACCCTAAACCCTAAACCCTAAACCCCAAACCCTAAGGTGCACTAAATGCCTCAAGGATTTGTTTGGGGTCACTGAGTAGGTACCGGCAAACGTTACCTCGTTTGTCCTCGGTAGTATCCATGCGGGTAGCTGAAGATGAGGAGTCCCTTTTTCGGGTTTAGGGTTGAGGGTTTAGGGTGTAGGGTGTAGGGTTTAGGGTGTAGAGTTTAGGGTGTAGGGTGTAGGGTTTAGGGTTTAGGGTGTAGGGTTTAGGGTTTAGGGTTTAGGGTGTAGGGTTTAGGGTTTAGGGTTTAGGGAGTAGGGTCTGGGGTATTGGAGGTCCGTTG